CACATTTCAAAGGGGGAGAGAATGCAAGCATGGCTCTCCCCAGGGGTTCCCTGGTGTACAGATGAACTCTGGAGACGCAGCCGTTAGTGAGACTTGACTAGAAAGGACTGTTCAAGTCAGAGAGACTGGTGATGGCAGGCACAGTTCTGGGAAGCAAACGGCCATGTCTTGCTTTCCTCCTGCCCAGAGGCAGACGTGCTGGTCACTCAAGCAGAGGCCTGGGTACTGCTTTGTTTTAAACATTACCGTGACAGGTGCAGGAAAGTCTGGTTTTCCCCAGCAGCCCACACGCGTGGGCAGTGGCCGTGGACCGGGCCTGGACCCAGGTGACCTCCCCGTGCAGACAGGATTTCCCTCCTAGGAGTGTGTACCAGAAAGGCCGCACTCCGAAGTTCTGGGAAGTCACTTTCATGTTCCCCTGATTGATCTTATAATACTGTGACATTTTCCTCTGGTCTCTACCCGAATATAGTGGAGGCTTGACTTTTCCTGAGGAAAACCCCATTCACTCTTCACGATCTAGAAGGTATTTTAAGTGGCAGGGGAGCCACTGAAGGGACCCATCGCTCTTTGGGAAGCACCGACAGATTTGAGGAAGTAGGCCAGTGCGGAAAGCCTCTGAGGAGCTCGGAGTGAGTGAGTGGATGTGTATTTCCAGAACAATCCGCATAGCAGATGAAAGAGGCAGGAAGACCATGAAGGCCATGAAGACAGACATTGGCTTTAGAGATATAGAAGTTGTCATCTCCCGAGGAGGAATTCCAGGGCTCTGAGACCCATGACAATTCAGTTTACTTTCCTGCTCCCTGGTCCCCCATTGTCTTTCCACACCTCCTGCTCCGTCCCCTTCCTTGCTGACCAGTGTGACCCCTGGGTGCTGCATGCTGTCCAGCCTGCCTCACCGCCTCAGAGCTCTGACTGCTGCCCCCCTTTTCATTCCTGACTCCTACTTGTCCCTGCTGTCTCAATTTGTGGCTCTGAGTGTCCCTCTCCCTCCCCACCTGCCGGACTCCTACTTCTGTTTTTGTTTAGCACTGTTACCCATCCCTTCTTGCCCAATCTCTGACTTTGCTCTCTCTTCCCTTCCTTAAGCAACCTTGTGTCTCTGTTTTGCTAATTTTGAATTCTAACTCCTCTAAGGATAAAGAAAACCATTCAAATAAAGGCCCCCAGACATCAAAGGACAGGCAGCTTGGTAAATAAGGAGACTGGAGCTTTCGTGCCCAGCTCCTCAGCGAGGGACGTTAGGACAGAACAGAATACATGTCAGCGTTAGGATTCACCTCAGCAGGAATAATCTGAGACCTCCTTTTCCGGGAGCCTAACTCACTTTGTAAAACCGCGAAGTGTCTTGGGGTTCCCCGCAGAAGCTCTTCACAGCGTGATTCTCGGAGCAGGGGTGATCCATTGCTCCTACCAAGCTGGAATCCGGCCAACTTGCAGCCGTGAGCTCATTTCCTCCTCTAAGAATGATTCCAGTTGTCATAAGACCTTTCCCAGAACCACTGTTGGCTCCCAGATCCTCCTGCGTTTGTCCCTGTTATTTAAATAGCAGGGAGGAAGGAAACAGCAGGTGGCTTTTACTTTCAAACCACGGAATGTTCCCAAGGAGGTGAAAACGTGGTCATAATTGGTCATGTTTTAGACAGCTCCAAGTGACTGGCTGCTTCTCCTTCCTCCCTGAAGCCCACCCTTTGCCTTCCCACCCCACGGGAAAGGGCTGGTGGGGACAGCAGTTCAACAGCTCAACAACAGATGGGATCCGATAGCTGCCAGAATCCTCTCCCTGCGTCCTCCGCAGCCTGGGAGGAGGCTGAGAGAGACCACGCCCCGCTCCCCGAGCTTCAGAAGAACCGGGTGGCGCTCTACCTCCCACCGCCCCGCGTGTTCTGACAGAGATAGCCCTCACATTGCCTTCGGACTCTTCCCTCAGAGGGAAAGCTGGTGACTGCCAACGCAAGCAGACAGCTCCCAGCAGATTCCTGGGCAGACACTTGGTTCTTAGTAGGCTGGCAGGCTCTGGAGTCTCTCCTCTCAGTGGCTGATCTACTAGCAGAGTTCCCTGTGGGGGTCAGGCCCAGGGCGGCAGTCACTCCCTGCACAATTCTCAGGTCATTTTTCCAGTACACTGCAGGCCTCTTCTTCATTTTGTGAAATAAAAGGCGGGATCTTAGAAAACCTGTTGAATTTCAGTGTGGGACTGGGGCTGTCTTTATCATCCATGAGCGGCAAGTGGAAGCAGAAAGCGTTCCTTTGAGCTTCCTGAAGTGGCTAGAGAGGAGGATAGAACCGTAGATTGAGCGAATAGGGCTGGATAGCTTCAGAAGTGACCCCCGCCTGTCCCCCGTCTGTACTCCATCATGAAAGAACTGAAAGGCACAGCTGCCCATGGCCAGGCACTGGGCATGGGGTTCACAGGGGGAGTGGGCTCAGGGGAACCGGAAACCCAGCAGGGTCCTGTGATACTGCGCACGCCCCCTGGAGCCAGGTGCTGATATCCTCCTTCTGTTTCTCTTCACAGCTTTCGGAACTCTCCAGAACTCTTCTCAGGTTATGTCCAGAGCACAGGCCCCTTTGGCTCCAACCCACACTCCTGAGCTTTAAGGATCACAGAGACAATGGCTTCGTTTCTAGATGTCTCCCTTCCGTGTTCCCTGGATGGCCACTTGTTCTCACATCCCTCCTCTCATCCGTCAGAAAGATCTGGGGCAAGATGGGGGAAACGGACATGCCATGCCAGCCCCACAACTGCGCCAAGGGTGACAGGAGGAAACTTGCCTTCAGGAACCTTCCTCACAGGAGTAGGGGCCAGAGACGTTGGCCTGACTCCATCTTTTATGGGCTGTAGGACCTTGGCTGGTTACAAAGCCTCTGAAGCTGGTCTGTCAAGCTATGAGCTCACCTCACAGGGTTGCTGTGAGGATCCAGCGAGGTGACTGGGTAGAGCACCTATGACATGGCATGACCGCAAGCAGGCGCTCACTAAAGCACGCCACGCCTCTCCCAATCTTGTTGTTTTACATTGTCTGAAAGGATCCAGTGACTTCCTCCCGTGGGTATTTTTTGTTCCCAGATAAGTTTCTATTGAAATAGAAAATTTTAAATCCTAATATTTTCTTCAACTTTTACGTTTAAAATACAAATAACCATGTCCTGCTTATGAATCTAGTATTAGATGATAGTTCTTAGAAACAGTTTATAAAATTAACCAATTCATTTTCCTTCCTTAAACATTTAAAAGTGACTTACAAGTTGGATCTATTCTGCTCTCTTTTTATCTGATTATTTATTTTGATTGAGACAGTATCTGACTACCATGCCTGAGATGGGTCTTGAATTGACAATCCTGCTGCCTCCCTTTCCTGAATGCTAGAACTACGGGTGGGCACCACCATGCTTTGCTGAATATATTCTACCTTGTTGTTCATCGAGAAGTTCAGTGTGTATTCTGCTTATCTACTGCTGTGTAAAACCTATTCCTAATACAGTGCCTTAAAACTGTTGTAATCACTTGGTTTGCTCTTGAAGCGGGGACTAGCTGGGGGGGGGGTGCTAGGCAGTGCTTATCCAACTCCACACTACAGCTCATACGACTGCTTTCAGCACATGCTTGGAGCAGGACTCATCTCCAAGACCTCCCCAGTCAGCTGTCTGGGGTGAGACTAGGAACCTCAAACAGCTGAAGACTAGCCAACTGGGGACCCTCGCACCATCACCAGTGGTTGACTCTCGCTGACCTGTAGCTCTCTAGTGTGTACCATGATGTACTCTCGCATTCTACTCCTGGTATGCGCTTGAATTGTTCCCATCTTGGAGTGATTAAAGCAGTGTTCCTGTGGACATCCTTGTAGAGATGCTTCGGTACACATACCTTTGCACTTCGTATACCTAGGCGTGGTACCCTTAAGGCACTGCTCAGGCATCCAGTGTATACATGTTCAACCGCAGTGGATTCTGTCAAATCATTTTCTTTTTATTGATTTTTATTGAGCTCTACATTTTTCTCTGCTCCCCTCTCCTTCAACCCTCTCCCAAGGTCCCCATGCTCGCAATTTGCTCAGGATTTCTTGTCTTTTTCTACTTCCCATGTAGATTAGATCCATGTATGTCTCTCGTAGGGTCCTCATTGTTGTCTAGGTGGGAGTGGACAACCTTGTCTTGTTCTTGATTTCAGTGGGATCGATGGGAGTTTCCATTTAGTTTGATGTTGGCTGTTGGCTTACTGTTTATTGCCTTTATTGTGTTTAGGTATGTTCCTTGTATCCTGCTGCCTCCAAAACCATTATCATGAAGGGATGTTGTCTTTTGTCGAAAGCTTTTTCAGCATCTAATGAGATGATCATGTGGTTTTTATTTTTCAGTTTGTTTATGTGGTGGATTACGTTGACAGATTTTTGTATGTTGAACCATCCCTACATCACTGGGATGAAGCCGTCTTGATCATAGTGAATGATGGTTCTGATGTATTTTTGGATTCGATTTACCAGTATTTTATTTAGTATTTTTCATCAATGTTCATGAGTGAGATTGGTCTGTAACTCCCTTTCTTAGTACTGTCTTTCTGTGATTTGTGTATCAGGGTAATTGTAGCCTCATAAAAAGAGTTTGACAATGTTCCTTCTGTTTCTATTGTGTGGAAAAATTTGAGGAGTGTTGGTATTAGTTCTTCTTTGAAAATCTTTTAGATTTATGAGCTGAAACCATCTGGTCCTGGACTTTTTTTTGGTTGGGAGACTTTTGATGACTGTTTCTTTAGCAGTTATAGGTCTGTTTAATTTGCTTATCTGGTCCAGATTTAATTTTTGTAAGTGATATTTATCCAGAAAGTTGTCCATTTCCTTTAAGTTTTCTAATTTTGTGGAGTACAGGTTTTTGAAATATGACCTGATGATTCTCTGCATTTCTTCCATGTCTGTTTTTATGTCCCCCTTTTCATTTCTGATTTTGTTAATTTATATATTCTCTCTCTGTCTTTTGGTTAGTTTGGATAAAGGTTTGTCTATTTTGTTGATTTTCTCCAAGAATCAACTCTTTGTCTCATTGATTCTTTGTATTGTTTTCTTTGTTTCTGTTTTGTTGATTTCAGCTCAAAGTTTGATTATTTCCTGCTGTCTAGTTCTCTTGGGTGAGTTTGCTTCTTTTTGTTCTAAAGTTTTCAAATGTTCAGTTAATTCACTAGTGTGGGACTTTTCCAGCTTCTTTATATAGTCATTTAGTGCTATGAACTTTCCTCTTAACACTGCTTTCATTGTGTCCCATAAATTTGGGTATGTTGTGTGGTCATTTTCATTGAATTTTAGGAAGTCTTTAATTTCTCCCTTTATTTCTTCCTTGATTCATTGATGATTTAGGTGAGTATTGTTTAATTTCCATGTGTTTTTGAGCTTTCTGGAATTAGTATTGCTGTTGAGTTCTAGTTTTAAGCCATGGTGATCTGATAAGATACATGGGGTTATTCCAATTTTTTGGTATTTGTTTAGGTTTGTTTTGTTACCAAGTCTGTGGTCAATTTTCGAGAAGGTTCCATGAAGTGCTGAGAAGAAGGTATATTCTTTTCTGTTTTAATAGGATATTGTATAGATGTCTGTTAAGTCAATTTGAGTCATAACATCTGTTAGTTCCCTTATTTCTATGTTAATTTTTTTTGTCTGACTGACCTGTCCAGTGGTGAGAGTGAGTGTTAAAGTCTCCCACTATTAGTGTGTGTTGTTTAATGTATGAATTAAACTTTAGAAGTGTTTCTTTTATATATGAGGGTACCCTAGTATTTGGGGCATAGATGTTCAGTATTGAGATTTCCTCTTAATGGATTTTTCCTTTGACTAATATGAAATCTCCTTCTTTGTCTCTTTGGATTGATTTTAGTTTGAAGTCTATTTTCTTAGATATTAGGATAGTTACACCATCTTGTTTCTTAGGTCTATTTAATTGAAAATTTCTTCCCAACCCTTTACTCTGATGCTGTGTCTGTCTTTGAGGTTGAGGTGTGTTTCTTGTATGCAGAAAAGGAACGGATTCTGTTTTTGGATCCAATCTGTTAGCTTCTGTCTTTTTGTAGGTGAGTTGCGTCCATTTATATCAAGGAATATTAATGACCAATGATTGTTCTCTCCTGTTAATTTAGTTTTTGTTGTTGGTGATGTTAATTTGTGTGTTTTTTCCCTTCTTTGGAATTTATTGCTGTATGATTATCAATTGTCTGTGTTTTTGTTGATGTAGCCAACTTCCTTGTGTTGGAGTTTTCTTTCCTTCTAGTACTTTGTGTAGGGCTGGGTTTGTGGCTAGGTATTGGTTAAATCTGATTTTGTCATGGAATATCTTGTTTTGTCCTTCTATGGTGATTGACAGTTTTGTTGGGTATAATAGTCTGGGCTGGAATCTATGATCTCTTAATGTCTGCATAACGCTTGACCACAACCTTCTGGCTTTCATTGTCTTCAATGAGAATTCAGGTGTAATTCTAATAGGTCTGCCTTTATATGTTACTTGGCCTTTTTTCTTTGCAGCTCTTAATATTCTTTCTTTACTCTGTATGTTTAGTGTTTTGATTATTATGTGGCGAGGGGACTTTCTTTTTTGATCCAGTCTATTTGGTGTTCTGTACACTTCTTGTATCTTCATAGGCATATCTTTCTCTAGGTTGGAAAAGTTTTCTTCTATGATTTTGTTAAATATATTTTCTGTGCTTTTGAGGTGAACTTCTTCTTCTATACTTATTATTCTTAGGTTTGGTCTTTCCATGGTGTCCCATATTTATTGCATATTTTGTGCTTAGCTTTTGTTAGATTTAATGTTTTCTTTGACTGATGAGTCTATTTCTTCTATTGCATCTTCAGCACTTGAGATTCTCTCTTCCATCTCTTGTATTTTGCTGTTTATGCTTGCATTTGTGGTTCTTGATCATTTTCTCATGATTTCCATTTCTATAATTTCCTTGGCTTATGTTTTCTTTATTGTCTCTATTTCAGTTTTCAAGTCTTGAATAGTTCCTTTCATATGTTTGATTTTTCTTGGTTTTCTTTAAGGGATTTGCTGATATCTTCCAATTTTTTATTTGTCTTTTCCTCCATTTCTTTAAGGGAATTTTTTATTTCCTCTTTAAGAGTCTCAAACATTCTCCTGAAGTGATTGTTTTTAGGTCATTTTCTTCTGCTTCATCTATATTTGGTTGTTCAAGTCTTGCTGTTGTAGGGTCTCTAGATTTTACTGGTGTCGTGTTGCTCTTTGTGGTGTGTGTTTTCTTACTTTGTCTACTCATCTTTTTCTCTAATAAGTGTGGTTGGGACTGTCTGTGTCTCTGGTGATTAATCTTCTAGGTGCCAGTGGATCCAGGGCTTATATGGTTGTTTCTTATGATAGTCAGTGTCACAATTCTAGTTACCCCATTAGTCACTCCTTGTTCCTGGAGGTCACTCAGTGCTCCTGGGGTTTGCTCTGCTCCTTGGGGTTTGCTGTCTCAGGCCTGCTCTGGTCTAGGTTGCAGGTTCAGACCTGTTTCTGTAAATTTCCCTGGTTTGGATCTGCTCCTGCAGAGATGCCTGGCTTGGGGTTGGTCCTGCAAAGGTCTCTGGCTCTGATCTACTCCTTGGAGGTCCCAGACTTGTGTGCACTGGGACCCTCAAAGGTCCTGGCTCAGACTTAGTTCCTTGGAGGTTTTAGACTCAAGCCCAGACCCACAGGGGTCCTGACTCAGGTCTACTCCCTCAAAGGTCCCAGATTCAGGCTGGGACCCACAGCAGTCTCTGGCTCTGGCCCAATCACTCAGCAGTTGATCCCCTGTACCTGCTCCTGTGGAGTTAGCTGTCTCAGATCTGTGCTGGCCCAGATCGCTGGCTCAGTCCTGCCTCCTCAAATGTCCCTGGTCTGGATCTGCTCCTGTGGAACTTTAGTCATTCTGAACAGTGGGAGGGAAGTCCCACTTGGCTGTCATCACGTGGGAAGCATGGCGATCACAGTTCTTCTTCCAGATCATTTTCTTAAGTGTTTTCTTAAGTGGTTGTAGCAACTTGCATTCTGCTCTTCAATGTTTGAGGCTCCCTCTCTGGTAGTTGTCATTTTTTGTTGTTGTTGTTTGTTTTCTAACCTTTGCTTTTGGGCACGAATAGCAACATTTCATTGTTGTGACAGTTTTCATTTTCCTAATGAATATTAAGGTTGAATAATACCTTTTTTGTCTGTGCCCCCTTACTTGACTCTCCTGGAGGCTAGCAAACTCCAGCTATCTCCAACCTCCCCACCTTTTCCTCAAAGCTGGACTAAGTGCTGGGACACCTGGCTTTATTACATGGCTGCTGGAATCCAAACTCCATCCTTCCTGGCTGTGTAACAGGTTCCCTTAGCTGTGGAGCCATTTCTCCAGCCCTGCCCCCATCCCTCATGCGAGTGTCTTCTATTATTAAGTGGCTAATCTAGTCTCTTAGCTATTTCTCTATTTGCTTGTTTCTCTTTTTCTTACCGATTTAAAGAAATATTTTAAATAACCAGGTTAAAAATATTCGGTTGGCTTT